GTGGCTCCTTTTGGAGAGTCTGCTCAGTTGCAACCACGCAACTCCTCGGGAACTGTATCTGTACCTAGGATTTACACTTGCCTCTTATTCAGTGGCGTGATGGCAGCCCAGGTTCTCGCGAGAGCATGAAGCTGTGATTGGCAACAAGAGGGAGGGCCCAGGAATCTGTGAGCTGTACCACCACGCAGACCTGACCTAAAGACAGAGAGCAACGGAACCAGCTCATCTGCAGGACACAATCAGAGAGAGGATGCTCCAGATAGCTGACAGTCACCATTTCGTGATACCTGGCTTGATTTATAGGATCCACCATTTTTCTGACTTTCAGTTCTAAACTTCATTCCTTGGATTATCCTAAGAAAGTTTCCTCTTTTACATGCTCGTCTTAACTCATTCGGATTCCTTTATTCATTTGGGGGCAGTGGGAACTGAAACTAGGGCTCCACACCTGCCAACCATGCGTGCTGCCCTTCAGCTTGTCTCAGGCCCAATTCAATTCCTCGAACTTGCAATCTAAGTAGGCATTACATGCCTGGTTGCCATATGCCATAGGGAATCAGTGTCTGGGAAAGAAGATAAAGGGATACACACACAGAAAATAGAGTGGCACACTGACAATAGCCACTTAGAAATATGGCTATTACTTCTGTTACTCCAGCAGCACAAGAGATTAAAAAAAATAGGGACTTATCAAATCAAAAAGAATTTATTCTAGAGGAGACACAGTTATAAAACTGAAAAAAAACCTCACAGAATAGGAAAAAATATTAGCGAGTCATAGATTTGACATGGGACCTGTATATGAATACACACACACACACACACACACACGTATATTAGAATCTGAAAATGAAAACTCTATTAAAAATCATGACATTTGGAGGTAAATGGATAGAACATATTATACTGACTGGAGTAACTCAGACCCAATAAGAAAAACACTGCGTGCTCTTATTTGTGATTTTTTTAGCTCCAAATCCATAAATGTGAATATCAACCCTAGAATACCACTGGGACTAGGGAAGTGAAAAGGCACCAAGAAGGGAGGAGATGTAGAACGGGGAACAGCAGGACAGAGGGGCCATGAAGGGAGAAATGAGAAAAATGGGGCACTCCAACTGAGGAGGGGAGAGAGGGGATAATAACAGAAGGAGATGGGAGGAAGAACAGATCAAAACACTAAGGATCCTTGAAAAAGACGTAGAGTCGTTCTTTTATGTTTACCTAAAATGACATATGTTACAAATATATGTGTATAGGACACATATTTTTGTAAGTGTTGGGGAGCTGCACAAAAATGACTGCAGAGCAGGAACTTCTGAAGCTCCGTAAGAACAACTGTGATATTTAAACGCTCGTGTTCGTGGAGATGGAGGAACTCAGGCCACGGAACACTATTATGGATAGGAAACAGGAACTACTTCCACTGCAGGGGAGGTGTCTAAGATGCTTGAGTTCCTGTGAAGTTTTTTTTTTTTTAACTTATTTGATTTTAATTAAGGCAAGAACATACTTCCCTGATCAAGGAAGGATGTTGTATTGAGACTGTAGATAATGACTAAGAAAGATGAATTTTTGCTGCGCTGGACTGTGGACATCCAGCTCCTCGTCTCTTGTTCCACAGGTTTCATTGCCCTGGGTTTTTGAGGGGGGAGGGGTCTACTGCAGAGTCTTTGAGATAATGGAATCTCCCACTTTTCACTAGTCATCTTCCAATACAAAAATTTCTAAAATTCTGAAATTTTTTATAATGTATTTATTTTTATTTTATGAGCATTGGTGTTTTGCCTGCATGTGTGTCTGTTTGAGGGTGTCAGGTCCCCTAGAACTGAAATTACATACAGTTGTGAGCCACCATGTAGGTGCTGGGAATAGAACCCGGGTCCTCTGGAAGAGCAGTCAATGCCCTTAATGGCTGAGTCCTCTCTCCAGCACCAAAATATCATCCTGCCTGCCACCTTCTGGGGACTTTGTGGGTAGACAGCCTGTAGGTGCCTGACGCTGATCTGGTTAGCCGTGACTCGTGCTGTGTGACCCTGTGGATCCACCTCCAACACTGCGGTGTACAGGCAGACTGCGTTTTCGTCACACGCAGTGCCTAGTTTATTCTTCAGTGAGAGGGATTCTAATCTTTACCAATCTCTAGACTTTTCTCTAAAACGGGTAGTAACTTCCCGGAAGACAGACACTTTAAACATTCTTGGTATTTATCTTTGCATTCTTGGTTCAGAACCCAGAGCCCACTATTAACTGTTAGCCATTCAGTGACCACGTAAGGAATTAGTGTGTTGAATTGTCTGAAGGGACACTTTCTGCACACGAGTTTAAAGAGATGCATCTATTATTATCAGAAAGTTGTTAGGGTGTTAGCAACAAGTACAGACCCAGCAGAATATTTCCAACATACACCACTTCCTCCATGAAGCCATGAAACTCTCCCTCCAGCCATGGGCTGAGAATGAGTTTACCTCACTACTTCTAAAGACATTTCTCAGATGATGTCCTAGAAGCCAAAGGAGCACAGAATCTACTTTTGGGAATGTGCAATCTCTTCCTTGCTTCTTTGAGTATTGATCTGAGGCATCACAGTGGTCCCAAGTCTCTTGCCTACATCATAGGAAGACACCTCAATGGGAATAATCACTCCCCCCTCCAGGGAGCAGTTCATATCTAGGGGCTGTTTCTGTGGAAACTTGTGCTCCCTCACTGGAATTTTCCAAAGAATACTCCACAATAAACTTCTATGTTTATTTCCTTCAAGGAAGCAGCTTCAAACAGCAAGACACCAGCCAACACGGACCACTTCCAACTCCTGACTGAGTATATAGGGCTTGGTAAATGTTAACCATTTAAACTGATACCTGACACCTACCTTCCTTGTTATCATGACAACAGATGACAAAGTCACCCAGAGAGACTTGCTGGAAGTTCTGAGTTACACAGGGAAATTGAATAGCAGGAGTTTCCAGAATGGAACCCTGAAAGAGTTCTCATGGTTTGGAATTCTTTCTCTGGGATTCATGTGCTGTCATGTAACAAGTCACTCCCTCCTGGGACCACTGAGGGTAGGCTCCAAGGGACTTTCCTGGATGAAGTCTAACCATCCTTCACCCCCAAAGCACTAAATATGTGAGTAAAGCTATCTTAGTTTCCGACCCATCAATCCACCATTTTCATCTACCCATCAACTCAGTCACCCCCACATGCACAGAAAATCACCATCCAGGCTCTGCCCAAATTCCTTACCCACAAAATCATGTGGCAACAAATGATTATTGTTTTCATTTGTTCTGCAACAATAGATATGTAGAGCAAATTCCTGGAATTCTCTTAACACAGCTTCCAACTTGGGGACCAAGCAGGGAAGGAAATGGGAAGCTTGTGTCCATTCTACTGATGTGAAGATCTGGGGATCTCAGAGTAGATTGCTGGCCCAAACCCAGAAAGTCTATTTGTAGCCACCCTGGAAATGGAACTGACTCTCAGGAGCCTTTCCTCAGTGTATTCCATTTGACAGGCTTGCAGATTTGTTGTCAGAACATGAAATGGCAGTAAGTTGTGATTTTTAAAAAACTAAAGACTGAGTGAAGATGACCTGGCACCTCCTGAATCTGGTTCTTTGCGTTTTGTTTTTAAAGGAATATTTGGATGTAGAGATGAGTTCCCTGATGTGCATAACATGATCACGGCTTTGGCAATACATGACTAATTCAGACTTTTTGATACTGCCTCTACACATAATTCATAAATGTCAGAGTTTGTGCCTGAGTTGTCTGTGTGTAGTACTTGGCCATCACACTTATCCCTAGGGTTCTTTTTGTTTAGGATTCCATGTTGAAGTCTGCTTACTGAATAATCGTTTCTTAGTTCTGACTTTATGTGGCTCCATTGCCCATGCTATCTCACTTCCCTCTACTGCTACATGCTCCATATATAATATGAATACAGAAGGTGTTATAGTTAGGGTTTCTATTGCTGTGATGAACCACCATGACCAAAAGTAACTTGGAGAGGAAAGGGTTTATTTCGGTTTATACTTCCAGGTAATATCTCATCTCTGAGGGGAGTGTTGGTAAGAACCCAACAGGAACCTGGACAGGAACTGATACAGAGGCCATGGAAGAGTGCTGTTTACTGGCTTGCTTAGCTTGCTTTCTTATAGAACTCAGGATCACCAGCCCAGGGAAGAAACCACCCACAATGGGTGGGGCTCTCCTCCATCAATCCCTAATTAAGAAAATGCTCTACAGACTTTCCAATCTTATGGAGGCATTTTCTTAATTGAGGCTCCCTTCTCTCAGGTGACTTCAGTTTGTGTCAAGTTGACATAAATCTAGCCAGTACAGAAGTTTTCACCTTATTCCTTATTATCCCCAGAAGACACAAAGCAAATACAAAGAGAAACTGGAAATAAAATGTTCCTATGAAGAAGTCACTAGGCCATATCTCAGTCAGTGTTTAGAGTTTCTGCTGGACCACCACAGTGAGATTCCCTAAAGAATGAAGGAAGCTTAGGGGGCTGAGCCCTCACTGTATACAGATGTCACAGACCTGCATGCGTGATCTTAGTTCTCACAGTTCTATGAAGTACGTATCATTACGTACTAAGAAGGACACAGGGGTAGGGAGAGGGCTAGGTAAGAGCCAGCAACAGAACAGCAAGAGGAGGAGGAAGAGGAGGATGACAACCTAATCCAGATGTCTGAGGTCAGAGCCATGGAGAGAACTGAGAATTTCACACTATTAGAGAAGCTGATCCCCCCAAAAAACTGTCCAATAACTGAAGAGGACTTTTGTTTGTTCATTTTTTGAGACAGGGTCTCAATATGTAGCCCAGGCTAGCCTCTATCTGGTGATCCTCCTACCTCTTTCTCTTGAGTACTAGGAATACAGATAAGTATGTGCCATCCCATCTAACTTTGAGGTTGAGGGATTATTGTGCAAGCAAAGTATCAGATTTTATTGTTATGAACACATGGAAAAAATTAATATGTACTTACCTGCACAGTTGTGGCCATTGGAGTTGCTGGCACCTGACTGGTCCTCATAGGGTACAGAAGCCAATGAGTGAGAGAGCAGAAGAAGAAACAAAGGGGTAGCCTTGAGGACTTTCCAAGGGGACTTCATCCTGAGATGTGTACCAGGAGCCACCGTCTTGGTCCAAAAGATCACTCTACTTCTCAATCCTCCTTGGCCTCTCTATAGTTACCACACCCCAAAAGCAGACTGCCATAAACACACTTTGCAGCAAGTGTGATGCAATCACGTGTGCATGGAGAACTGGCTATTTTGAGACCTCTGAGAGAGGCTCAGACATCCAGGTCTGGGAAGAGCTGGAGAAGTCCTTGGTGGGCAGTCCCTCTGAGCAAAGACTTCAGGGAAAAGAAACGCCCAAGTTGCAAAGTAACAGCAACAGCACTTCCGGCCTCTGGCTGAAGTCACTGGCCATAAACCACATGAACCTTGAGGTTTGCCCGAAGCACTCTGTCGAGTTGGAGGAGAGAGGTCCTTCCTCTTTTGTTCTTGTAAAACAAAGCTAAACGACAACTAAAACCAAAGAAGAAAACATCACGCCACCTGTACACAGTCCTTCAACAATCTGAGTGGCAGCACCCACATAGCGAAGAAGTTATAGTTGTAATGTAGAATAATTGTAGTTATAATGTGTAATGCAGAATTACATTTAAACTTATTTCACTTTCTTTTAAATGGCTGTATATGCGAGGATGGACTCCTTGTTTTGACAGAGCACTTTCTGGTTGAGTGGTGACTTTTCTGAAGCAAAGAGAGACTCTTCCTTGCAGGGCCCAGCTTTCTTAAAGCCTCCCATTTGGTATGCAGAAAACAATGGCTGTCAGCAGGCCTAGATCTTAAATCTAATAAGAAAAAAGATGTGAGTTAGCTACCTATCATTTACTTGCCTGGGCAGGCAGCATCATTTTCCCTCAGCATTTCAAGATGGGTTTGTTTCCCACCTGTAGGGAATTTGTTCACTTTTGAGAGACTGATTTTTCTGCTTTGATGGTGAGAATTTGGCACCGTTTTTCTGGGGAAAGCAATCTGGAAATGGGGACTTGGAAATAAAAGATGCGTAATCTGAATGCCTTGGCAATTGTTTCTTAAATAGATTACACCAAAGTTGTTTGTAACATTCAGACAAGCTCAGAGGCTAAATTACCTAAGTCCAGATAAGAATGAAAGGTCATGTGACTCTCCCTTCCTGCTTTGGCTCCAAGAAGAACTTATTACAGATTTAGAACTATGAAAGTTAGTTAAATTGGTTAGCATTTTTAATCTAGTAGCATTTTAAAAAATTTCATATATGTATTCAGTGTATCTTGATCATACCCACCCTCAATCCCCTACTCCACACGCACTCTCCCTGGACACACCCTCACATGTCCCCTTCTCACTTTTGTGTCCTCTTCAGAGGACAATTCGTGCTGCCTGCTGAATGCTAACTTGACCTTGTGCAGATCTTTTGCTTGGCCAAGGTGCTGCCGCTTTTGGTTCCTGACCTTGTGGTCAAGGGAAGCTTTAGACAGTGATGGAGTGACTGAAGAACAAGGGCTCATGCTTGACTGTCGTGTCTACCTTTACGTGAGGAATGTATTAGGCAAGTGAGTCGACTTTCTTCCTCCAGTTTTCTCGGTTACCGTGGGTAATGGTAGTATTCAGGTGACATAGAACCCAAACACCATGCCAGGCAAGAAGTAAATGCATAGTAAACTAAAGCTCTGGCTATTACCCCAGTGAAGGTGCAACCAAATCTGTGGCCCAGGAGGGCAGACTTTACTGAACATTTTTTTTTTTTTCTGGGCCAGTGAAACCTCAAGAGTCCATGATCAAGTCTGTCTGACCCAGAGACTGAAGAAATGTTTCAGAAGAGCATTTGGGATCCTCAAGGTGGTCTCGATGTACAGCCGCAAGCATGCACAGAAAACCTCAGGTTTTTCTATGTGTGATCCAGTGAGCTCCACCCACAACCATCCCAGGAGTTAGAAGCTTTGAAAACATCTGGTGCACTCAGGCTTTGGGTTGGCCCACTAAGTGACCCTGATTTAGTTCTACCCTCTCACTGGTGACATGCCTCTGCTAGAAAAGGAGTTAAGATGGTTTCCTTCCCAGGGGGTATGGAAGGGTAGATCCTACTATAAAGCAGGCATTCAATAAACGGCAGTGCTCTTCACATTGGACAGCTGATTTCTTAGTGGGCAATGCCAAAGGAACATGGAAATGGGTGAGCGATGCAGCCAGCTGATGCTAGAAACAACATGTACATGCACACACCACCACTAGCCAAACCTCAGTGGTCCCCACCGCAGAAATGGGGGCTCTCAGACTGAGAGTGTCCTTTCCCATCAGGGCTCCCTTTGTTCATCAGGTATTGAAATCAAATGACCTGTATTTCTGATCAGCCTGGTGAGAAGCCACCTGTGGTGTGACGTCCCTAGAGAACTCCTGCTGTCAGACGCTCCAGTTTTGATTTTCTCAAAATCTGTTCTTGAGAATGAGATTCCTTCCCTGCAGCCCTTTGTTTCTCTGCTCGGAGAGCTCAGATGCAAACCTCAGTCTTTCTCTCTGCAGCAGGAGGCTGGGGATTTGTGATCCTGAAAACTGCACCCTACGCATGTGTTAGAGAGATGACGAGGTGCCCAGGCTTTGTGTGAAAGTGTGTGGATATCAATGAGTGGCTGAGTTTCCTGTTTGGAAAAGAGCAAGAGAGAGCTAAGAGAGTCTGGCAGAAGCAAGTACAGAGGTGGGCAAGCCATGCAAACACAGGCCTCAGGGAGTCACAGGAGGACGTCAGATTCTCGTGTGTGACAGACCAAGGCTAGGTGGGTTTAAACCATCTTTACCTGTCTCTCAGAGTTATAAAGGTAAGTTTGAATGCTCATAACTAAATAAAAAATACAGCTTCACTAAGAATGTAGTTCATTCAGTTCACCTTAGATAAAGAAATCCAGAGGCCATCCTACTACCCTAGGACTGGCTTTCCTCCTCAGGAGTAGCTCACAGCTTTAAATGACTGCTAACACCCAAGCCACCATGTGTATGCTGCAGGGCACCAGAAAAAGGAAGCAGAGCAAAGAGCAAACACACATGTTCTCTTAGGAGAAAAATCTCCTCCAACATTTCTGCTTGCATTTCATTGGCTACACCTAGTTGCAAAGGGTGCTGGGAAACAGAATCACATGATCACTCACAACTGCCAGAGAAGTGGGCATGAGGAGTCTATAGTCTGTGGGCAATGTGGTCAGCAAAACATCAGGCTTTGAAAAATATGGTATTGGTACTTAACTGCATGATATAAACCATATGTAAGTGTATGTGGAATTTTCTCTGAATTATAATTTTTATTATCTTTTATTACAAGTTTTAGGAAGGTGCATACTTTTGCCTATTTTTCATTTTTTTTTTTTTGATGGGCAGATAGAGATGCTCCCTAGAAGCATTTTAACCCATATCCTAGGTTATTCACAGAAATGAAGCTGTCAAAAGCCCAGCTGAGGCTCAGCTGTTGAGGCTCACCAGGGTGGGGCAAGTGTGTAAGTAGACTCCTGTCTTACTGGGGGTTTGCAACTACATTTCAACAAAATAAACCTACGGATTAGCTACATACTTCCTTACGATATCATCACAGAGGAAGCTGGAAACGAAGGATAACCAGAGTGCTGGAAAATGCTTTGTGTTTCAGGTAGATGACACAGAACCCTGCCGTTGTGTGGGGTCCTTAAGTTCCTTGGTCAAAGCAGTGATGGTCAAGAGGGCTGTGGTATCATCCGGCATCTAGATAACAGAGACATGTCTGGACTCCAGTGGACGCTGACTGCTTCACTGCATCTGCCCAATACTCACGTGAGCTTGGACCAGTGGGTCACAGTCTGTGATCCTCAAAAGGCATTACAAGTCCTTGTGACTGGAGTTAGAGAAGAGACACGGTAAGAGAGTCACAAAACTGCTTTGCATGGTGGGTAGCAGAGAGCAGGTGGTCAACATGCAGAAATCAAGCCCTCCTCTGAGCATCTTCCCAGTATTTCCACTGGGAGGAAAAGTTGGAGGAAGCAAGGGTAGGGATGATACATTCACAGATTTGGGGAAGTCAATATCCAGTACAAAGATCTCCCCATATGACCTTCTGCTGAGATAAATACAGCCTTAGAGAGACAGAAAGCCACAGGAACACAACAAAAATGGAAAAGAGTAAAAGAAAAAATGAGCATCTCAGCCTAAAGGACATGTCACACCACTCTGTTATTTAAGACCTCAAAGCTCCCTGGTGCCCATCACATCAAGAGTAAGACTTAGATCGTCTCACAGATCTGTGTCATCTGGAGCCTGTTTCTGTCTCCCCTTGTGTTTCTAATCACAGTCCTCTTGTGCATTGCATTCTGATCATACTGAATTGTGTTTGATGCCCCAAGATATGACCAAATAGCCATGCTCTGCTTCCTTTGCATGTGCCACTGCTCGCCTCTAATAGCCTTCTCCTCGTCTTGCAGCCTGCCCCTTCCCCTTCAAGGTCACTCTTCTTAGAAGGGCTCCCTGTCCATTGTCGAGCATACTTTGCTCCAGTGTGGGTGTTCCCCAGACACGTTGGCATCACTGTACTTCTGTGTGTCCCAGTGGCTGTGGGTTCCTGCACAAGTATTTGGCACCATCACGGCAGAGCATAGACTGTATGTACTCCAGGCAGATACCCAGGAAATATTAGTGGGAAAAGTGAGTGAAACAGAGCAAAATAAAAAATATATATTAGGTATTGCAGTGTGCAAAGAAGGGAAATATTTTTTTAGGTGTTGTTATTAGGAGTATTACATAACAGAAAAGCATTTGAGGCAGTAAACTTGGGCCTCAGTACTAAAGCTTAGTGTCAATGTTGAGAAAAAAAGTCGGCATTCGAGGCAGTAAGGGCTAAAGTATGAAGAGGGGGCTCCAGAGGCAGTCCCAGGACTGTGCAGAAAGAAAAGAGGAAGCCAGAGGGCAGCGCCTCCAGGGTATAAAGTCCAGAGTTACGTAATTTCCTCCAGGTCTGTCACACTTTTTGTATCAAGATGGCAACGTTTATTTCCTCAAAGACTTGTGCCTGCTGAGCCCAGGGTGGGTGAAGGACAGCCCGGTGACACTTGGCTGAGCTCAGAACCTCTAAATGAGCTGCTTGTGGAGCAGGAAGGTAGCACACAGAATGATCGCTAGTCAGGAGAAAGAGGAAAGGATGGTCTCGGTGTGTGCCCCTCCAGCAGCGGGTCCACTTCAGCACGGACATGTCTTTATTACACTTACTGCGTTCAGTTTCTTCATGCCATGACTTGAGAGTCACATGTGGTAAAGAGAACAGCTAACGTAGACCTGGATTACTGAGCTGGCCAGAAGAGGCTGTGAGCTGCACTCTGTGAAAGGGGTGCAAGTTGATCTGAGGGGACCTGTTTTCCACCCACTCCCAGAAGAGAACTTTAGAAAGTGACTGTCACCTGCTGGAGTTTTCAAACATGCTTGTTGAAGTCAAAGGAGGACAGGTTTTGTGTGAAAGCCAAGTTACACTTTAAGTTTGAATGACTATGCCTAAGAAATTCTCCATGAAACGAAAATGTCTTTGATCTGCAAGCCTCTTGCTCAAGGACAGATAGTTCCTGAAATGCTGGAGGCTACTGTTTATGGGAGGTAACAAGCCACGTGTTCTCACTCCCCTAAACAAGTTTGTTTGACCCATCTGCACTGATGTGCTTGGTCACATGTGGGCAGGAAGTTCACAGACAAGAAATGTACGCTTGCTCCTAATTGGATGTAGGCTGGAGGTACATCAGGATGTATGCTTGCCCCTAATTGGACCTTATGGGAAGTACTAAGCCACTTTAA